CGAATAAAAGGAAGTTTTCTTTTCACATCACCACTACTTCTCTGCTTTTGAAATATTTTACGGAATATAAAATCAATTTATATACGGACATGGACAAACTAATAGCACCTTTCTCAAATTTTTTTTTTGGAAAAGTGCTAAACATATTACAAATTTTAATTTTCGTTCTCAGTTGGTTAATTTTTTTTGTTTTGAAATGAGACTTTACAGAATAGTTAATTACGTTTTTTTAGTTAAAACATTTTTAGTACGAACTTGAAAGTTTAAGAAAATCTTTTAATGTTAAATTGTCATTTTTTTTAATCACATATGTGAATTTTAACAACCAAATTAAATTCCATTTACTCATTAACTATAAGTACTCCTCGAATAAAGTAGTCTCGTTATAAAAAAATTTGATAAAAGTCTCTAATATTTTTAATACTATTTCCTCACTTAAAATCAAAATTAAAGAATTATGTAATTTTTGTTATATAAAAATTAGATATTAAACTCGCTTTGAATCATTCGTAAATTAAAATTATTAAATTTCCTTAAATTTGTAAATTTTCGATCGCCAAAAGGGCTTTAAGTGAGAGATTACTATAGTTACTCTTCAATTGTCTATTAAAAAACTGATTGAGAGAAAGTTTTAATTTAATACTTAAAAATCTTTTTTGTATTTAAAATTTGTAAAAATTTCAATAATTTAAACTTGAAATTGTTCTATCATTTCCGATATTTTATAATAATAAAGTAAATAATCGAAAATCCGAATAATTTTTGATTCATGCGAGTCTACGAGCCTTTTGTTCTAAAAATATTGCCGCATTAAGTACAGCACGTAATTACATGAATAATATAGAAAGTTGAATAACCTTTTAATTTAAATTATTTATATTTGAATTTTCGGCCCGATCTTATTACATTCAACTTTTTATCAACAACTTGTTATACTTATTTAATCTCATATCAGTTTTAACCTCAAAATTCTGAAGGTCACTCAAAAATTTTTATTAACGTTTTTGTATTGTTTCTTTTCCCCTTTGTTTGTCATCATTTTTTATGGTTTTCTTATAAAAATGAAAATATAATACATAATTGGCAGAAATTTGTGAAAAATAAAAACAAACAATGATCATAATAATTTTCATTTGAGTGAGAGACAAAGACCATATCATAAATGAAATAGAGCACTCAGTCGACCAATTTATTATTTCCGAAAAGGAAATAAATAGAAAAACAAGCAAACAACAAAAAAAACCATAACAATAATATTGAATATGATTTTATGTGACTGTTTTTTTCTTTTTGTTACTTACTAACATATAGGAAGGATATTCTTTCTCATTATTAAGGATTAAAGATTATTAAAATAGATATGTACGTATAATATTGAGTTATATATAAAAATATATGCTTACATATTTATATTCAAATAATAATAATAAAAAAAAGTGAAGAAGAAAACAATAATATTCTAGAGAAAATTGTAGACTAACTAAGCATAAAATATGTAGTTAAAATTTATTGTCTAGTATAAGGAGAAAAAAAAAACTAAATTCTAGACACAGACTGGAAGCAACAGTTTCTCCAAAAAAAAAAAAAATAAATAAAAATAGTTCAGTCACTCTTCAGATAGTATGTAAAAGAAATATGAGTACGTATGTACTTACGTATATACACGTATATATCTTGGGGAATGTAGGCGAATAGAGGTTTATTATGAAAATACATTACGAGTATATATACTTATACTTATACTTACTATTTAAATTAAGGGTAAAAGAATGATAAATAATGTGGGAAGAACAAAATACCAAAGTATATACATATATATGTATCCATACTATTATATTATTTTATATAGAAATAACAATTTATAAATATAGGCATGCATATTAAAGGGATAATTGTAGAAAGACAAAAAAAAAAAAAAAAAACTAAAACTGAAAACTTAAAATCTTTTTAATTTGAAAAATTGAAAAAAGCAATCTTTATACATAATGGTTTCTGTTGATGCGAAAATATAAATTTTTCAATAAAAAGAACTTTTAATTAAAAAATTAAAATCTAAGTTAATAGCTCATACGAGTTAACGAGTGTAAACATTAACTACAAAATAAAAAATTTCATTAACTATAGGATGCATATATGTATGTTTAGTATATGTACTTACATTCATTGAAGATTAAATGGCAAAGTTCGAAATCAAGGAAATTTGAATGTGAGAAAGACATTAATTACTGAATAAATGAAAAAACCTATTAAAATTATTTTTTCTTTAATAATAGTTTTAATTTAAAAATTATTTGTAGTTTTTAAAAAATTTTCACATACATAAATGCAGATATATACATATGTATTTTCCTCAGTTAGATCGATTTCAAAATATAATATTCCATCATCAGTAAATTTCATATTAAAGTACTTAGTTGGTATTAAATTTAGATGAAAATTAATACTAAATTAAAGAAACTAGACGTTTATAAATATTATGATTTACATTTGGCAATATGAGAATTTTTGACAATTCAATTTTAATTTTTATTGCAGTTGTGTTTATGGTTCTAAAGCATTTTCATAATTTTTGTTTTTAATAGATTGAAAATAATGTGCAATTATTCAAAAAACGTAATTGAAGCGTTGACATCGGGTCCAAAGCCATTTAACATCAATTACAAAACGGTCACTTAAAACCTTTGAATCAATTGATTATTGAAATTTGATTATTTAAATCTTATTGGAAAAGAGCTAAGACAAGAATTATATTATATTATATTATATATATTATATATTATATATTCTATAATATATATATATAAGTTATATATAAGTTATAAATTATATATATATAAGAATTATATATTCTATATTATAAGAGCTAAGCTTGTTTCACAGAAATACTTTGAAGCCACCTTGTATACAATATCATAGTTATTCATTAGTTAACTTATTCAAAGGTTTGTAGGTGTTTAGAATATCTTTGATATGCATGAAAAACATAACCTTTTTTCTACATTCATCATGTAAATTACATAAATATTTGAATATAAGTATGTATGGGTTTCAATAATATTAAACTTTTAACAAATTCTACAAAGGTGAAAAAAAAAACAAAGGTGCTCTGTATACCTTGAAGTAAACGTCAATAGCCTGATCCTCAATTTAAACAATTTCCTCTTAAATATGAATAATATGAAGCTATTCCTTACTGATTATTTGCGTACTTTCATAATTTAAATATGTACATACACATACAAAAATACATATTACCTACCTCAATATCAAATAAGAAAAACATTTAAAACTTGCATCCTTTATAATATTAATATAAAAAAAAAATTCATAAGATTATAATGATTAATATAGTTCCTATGTTATTCACCTACAACACCTATACTCATTTTACACGGGAACTTGAAAAAAAAATATAAAAATATAAAATGCACCAACTAAGCACATACATAATATATACAAACGATACAAAATAACATATTTGATATCTACAAATTGTATATAATTTTACCTAGAAGTAAATAATATTCTCCTTGAAAAATTAATGTGAGCAGCAACTATACAAAATGTCCTTGTAAACAAAGATATTTTTATAATCTATTATTAATAATTCATATTATCTACATATATACATACATACATTTATATACATATGCTATGTACATACTTTTAGGCATAAATTTATTTATGTCTGGGATTTCAAGCTTGTATATTCTCTTTCATATCCTTTGGTCTAGTTGATTGATATGATTTATTTAAATAGGTACACATTCCTTTCAAAATTTAAAATAAAAAAATATGTTTCGAAATAAAATCATAATTTTCAGAAATAAAAATTAAGAAAAAATAAATTTTAATTTTCATAGTTTTCTATTGCTTTCTTTCTCTCTCTTTTGTTCTCTCTTTTCAGTAATTTCAAGGAAAATTAAGAAAAAGGACAAAAAAAACCTCAAACTTGAACTTGTGTTCTAACAAAAAATTCTTATAACATCGCTGATATAGTTACTTACACAAGAAATTACATTAAATTAATATTACACTGTTAAGCGTGACACAATAAATGATTTTGGCCTTCGTGTGAAAAAAAAAGAATTTTGAAAACATTTGTATAAATTCATAGTGACTAACAGAACATTTTGTAAACAGAAAATACTGAAAATAACTGATAAAGGATGAGAATAAATCGTTTTACTCTAAGAAAAAAATGTCATCGTATTGTTGAATATTACAAAGGACAGTTGATACTAAATAATATAAGTCTGAATACCCGTAAAAAAAGGCAGGAACTGTGAACCATTTATATAGAAACAAAGACATTCCAAAAAGCAAAGTAATAAATTAAATACCCAGATCCATATGTATATAAAAAGGAATTACGTACCTCTAAAAATCTTTATTCTGTGAACACAATAATTCAATTCATGTTTTTATTTTATATCGAACATCTAACTACCGCGGTAACATACGTTAACTTATCTACTAAAAATCTTAAGTGTTATACTTATCCCTTCATTTAAATACATAAGTACTACAGTATTTAAAATTTGCAAAAATAATTTCACATTTCACAATTAGTTAAGGAGAATTTATTTGATCCTAATTACAACAAATAATCACACCAAAATTACTAAATGCAAAATTATGAAATGCTCGTTTTTTCTTTTATAAGCTTATGGTCACTCCGCATAGCTTATCAATTGCTTTATTATAACGAAACGTTTGTATATACGTAATATGTGTTTGGATACCTATATATATATAAACATTTTAGATGTGTTAAAATACACCTGTAAATTCCGTTTTTTCAAACGTACATAATATTGTAGTTGAGTATATAAATTTACATGCATTAATATATACATGATAGGTTAGGTATGATATTGATATGGGCATATACTTTCAATTAAGTGTCAAATATTAAATTTGTAAACTTTTCATAATTCTAACAATAATTGTAGAAAAACTTTGTTCAAATTTAAATGCGTTTAAAAATATATTCTCACCTTTTCTAATAATTTATGTTTAGAAATTTTAGTTAGAAAGAATCCATCACACAATGTAGAGTAAAAATTAAAGTATTTTTTACTTCTTAATATCAAAATTTTTGTTTTCTAATTGCTTTTTCACTTTCACTTCTTCTTGTTTTTAGGCACAAGTTTCCGTTTTATTTAATCACATACTCATTTTAGAATGTCAATTTAATATTAATTTTTTTAAATGATAATGTGTGATTAATTGATATTGAAATTTTTTAATCTACATTTCACAAAAATTAATCGATACTTGTATTTGTTTTATTTTTATGTTTACTAACATTGAAAAATACACCAATAAATATGTATGTATGTACTCAATAATCTTTCCACAACTTAAATTGTCGTCTTTTAAAAATATTTACAACCAAACTTTTTGTTTTTTTTTTTTTTATCTTTCTATGTTTAGTAGATACATAGAATATTAAAATTGAAAATTTTCCGCGTTGATTTTATATTGCAATGCGATTTTCTGCCTTTTTACTACTCGACTAAAAATACACAATTGACATTAAATGTTCGAAGCAAAATATTTCCCTATGGAAAATTCAATCAAGTGGTCAAGTTTGTGTGTAGATAAAAAAAAATTAATATTGAGAGCTTTCAAAAATAAAAAAGCTCAGATTTTTTTTCATATGTAAGGCAAATCTTTCAAAAGTTGATAATGTGAAATGCGAATGACAACGAAAACGTCAAAAGTAATATATAAATAAGTAGCGAAACTGTTCAAATTTTATGTTGTGGCTCGAAACTTAACAAAAACAAATATCTTGTAATGATTTTTTTTTTGTTGTACATATAATATTTATATGTACATATAATAATTAAAATTTCTAATTTTCTACAAAAAAAAGGTAATATAAAATAATTTCCTGTAACTGTAAGGTACTATTTAAATGTATGACAAAATCTCAGATTTAGTTTGAGTCGGTTATGTAAACCTTGTTTGACATCAGACTTTTTCTGATGGCATATAAATGTGTTTACACAACGAGTTACGCCTCAATGCTTGATGTTCGTTTTATTTCCTTTGAAACGTATATCAACCATTGATGCAAAAGGTGTCGTGTAAACAGAGCTCATACTAAGAGAAGAATACTCTATTTTTAATGTCTTTATATCTAACAAGTCCCAATACTCAATTTTTTTTACGAAATGTTACGAATTTTTGGCCTCGTTGTTGGTTTTTTCTTTAAATGCCACTGATCGTGTCATATTTTTTATTATTTTTTTCTTTTTTTTTACGTAAAAAAGAGATTAATATTTTAAAAAATCTCAGGATATTATACACATTTTTTAAAAAGCTTCCCATTTAAATTCTATTGCACGAAAAAGAAAGAAAGGTAGGAGGAAAGAAAAAATGAAAAAAAATTTCAAATTCATATTTCAGTATGGTTTCAAATGTTAATGAGGAAGGATGTATGATTTTTTATGCACATTTTGTATTTCCCAATAAGGTAAGTTGAGTAGTGTCGGCTAACAAAAATGTTATTAAAAGTAATATAGGTTGACACATTTCAACAATTTGAATTATCTCATTTCGATTATTCATACGTTACTTATAAAATTGTTTCAAATAATTTCAGTTAGTTTTTAAATTATTAAAAATAAATATGTATGTACCTACTTCCAATAAATTTTTTTTTAAATAATTATTTTAAAACTATTTCAAATATGTTATATTGAGTGCTTCAAAAATTTTGCTGTGCTCTTTTTTCATATTTTATTAGCAGGTAAACAAGAGCAATCTATTTATAAAATGTCCCTGCATGTGTATGTATGACCTATCTTAATTCTAAACGGAAAGAATTTTAAAATACCTGAACAAAAATTTTAAAATACCTGTTATTTTACAGTCGGAATTTTCGAGTCATTTGGTAAAATACCATTTATTTCAAAAATAGAAAAATATTCAAATCCGGTCATAAAACTATATGATTGTTTTTTCCAAACATTTTAAATATTTTTTTTTCTTAGGTAATTGATATAAATGACAGCAAGTTTTTAATATTTTTTCAAATAAAAATAGAGGTAAAATTTTGAAGTTTATATAAAATTTGTATTTAACAAATAAAATTTGATTGTATTTTAGATATTTTCTAATTCCCTCTTCAAATTTTTTCTTTACTATGTATTTATATCAATATTTAAGAATTATCTTTCATTAATTATATTTTCAACTTGACACCACAGGTACTTCCCATATCTTGCGTTAACTTACCCTATGAGAAAAAAAAGCTGTTCACTTAAAAATAATGAAATGCTTTCAGTAACAAATAAAACGTTGAAGGCGAAGGTTGTGTTTGTTGTTTTTCCGCTTTTTTTTAAATTTTAAAATAATTATCAATGAAAATATTAATATATTTTTTTGATTTTTCAAATATATGTTCTAAATTTTACCTGCTTTATAATAAGTGTGAATTTATTTTAATATTTCTTCTCAAAAAATAGCCACTTCGATTTAAAAAAGGCCATATAAAATAAGGTGTGCTTTCAAGTTTCTCTCTGAGCATTGGGACTTGTTAGATATAAAGACATTACTATTTTTATAAGATTTGCTGCCAGATTTTTAGAAAATAAAATGCCAATAATTCAATTTTTGCGAAAGTTGTGAAAAGTGATCAGGTAATTTTTATTTTAATTATAATTTTTGAAGCAAACTATAAAAGTGCAAAGACTGATATCCATAAGATAGTTTCAGTCTGATATGTAAGTCAGTTACCTTAGATATAATCTAAAATTTTGTCATATACATAAGAATGTAAATAGTAAGTAGCACCGTAATTTTTCTTCAATCTTCTAAAATTTCTTATTTTAGTGTTATTTTTGTTTCTTTTTATGGTAAATAGTAAATGTGATCATAATGAGCTTCGGCTGAAATTTAAGGTTTCTTGTAATTCTTCACCATTTCATCATTCTCGTCACAGCAGCGCGATATGAAATTTATTTTTCTGTGCCTAAGATTTTTTTCAAATGTGTTGTTTGTTTTTTCAAGTACAAGTCTTAATTAGCTGACTTTTAAATAATAGATGTACCCAACGCAGGCTACGATAATTTTTTACGTATGTGAAAAATAATTTGGCTGCTGAATGTGGTACAGTACTGCAGGTTGTATAACCAAAATTATCAGCTCCAGCAAAAAAAACTATTCTGCAAGGCAGCTGTTTGCACCGCGTGACAACTAATTTTCAAAATGAAGATTTTTTGGTCTTATTTTCACGCAAACGTTCAAAATAAGATTTTTAAAATTGAAGTTTTAACTGAAGCTTTTCAGATTAGAAATTTTTTACACTTTTTCCCATATTTTCCAAAGTTTACAAAAAATATGCAATTATACCTATATTATTCGACGATTTTTTTATTGGGTTCTCAAATTCTATTTTAAAAAAATAAAGATATTAGGGGCTAACCTATAAAGCAGTAAATCTGACCATTATGTTACGGCTATATCGATTTTAATGAATCATTACTCAAATCTTATTTAGTACTTATAACTCGTTTTACCTGCACATGGAAACTCACATCACTACGAATTCTGAGTTGTTGAAAGCTAGTGTTATATATAATTGGACACAAAGGCACTCATATATGTACCTTAAGTTTTACATATTAAATGTCAACTGCTGTCACATCATAACCTTCAAGTTAAGAAAAGTCAGTGAAAAGTATTTAATTTTTCGATTGTCTATTTTAAAGCAAAAAAAAGGTATGAATTAATTCAATTTTTTAATTTTCAATTAGGAATTAGAATTTTTAATTCTTTATATTGTATGAAAGGCTAATTATTGTAATTGTATAAGTTTTATAAGAAAAATTATTTTTTTTATTACGTAACATTTTTCTATTGATCTGTGCACAAATCAATACCAATTTCCTTTTTAGAATAAAAAATGGCTAAAGACGTTGCTACTGGAAGCTCAATGAAACCTGTCCTCCGTGGACTTCATAATGCCACAATTAAGAGAAACTTGATTGTTTCTTTAACATTAGTTACAATCGTTTCTACAGCATATAAATTTTTGGTTAATGATCCAAAGAAAACTGCTTATGCTGAGTTCTACAAGTAAGCTGTTTGATTAATTTTTTTTATCTTGGTTTATCATTGAAATATAAATTCTTTCAGGAACTATGATGCTAACAAATCATTTGAAAGAATGAAGGCAAATGGCCGTTTTCAATCCTGTTCATAAACTGTTTCTTTTAATGTATTAAAAAGTTTAGTAAAAATAACGTGATGTTAAAATATGTAAGTCGAAAGGATTAAATACAAATAAAAAATAGACACAAATCTGTGTATAGTATTTTTTTTTATTGAAACCAAACACTTACATATTTTTTATACGGAAGATTAAATTTATACACGCTTATATACTTATATACCAACATTTATCTTAAAAATATGTGAAAATTTTTATTCTTGAGATTCCAAATTTTCTAAAACTATTATAATATCTAGATCCAAAATATCACTTATAATTGAGTTATCTAAATCACATTTATTATCATTGGTCTTCACGTGAAAAATACGGTTTGTAGAAAAACACCAATTTTTTAGAGCTATTATATCATCATGATTGTATTTGAAATAATCCGAATAGCATAAGTCAACCTTATTAGCAATATCTTTTGATGTAATTATATTTAATAAAAATGATATACATTCTAATACAAAGTACAAATCATTCTGCTTATCCCTAAATTTATTTACATCCATCTTTTTGATAACAGAAATAATTTCGGAAAATTTGTGAAATCTATACATTTTATGTTTATGACCCACACTTGAAAAGAAAACACTCCAAATAATGCAAACGGAAAGATATAAGCCTAATCGGCTTAAGTTACCTACGGTTTTAGCATAATATATTTTGTTTCTATTGGAATTCTTGAAACATTCCAATTCCATTATCCCATTTGCAATTAGATGTAAATGTAATGGATTATTACCAAAATCTATTTTTATTTTAAAAATGTTATTTAACATATTTAAAACATTTACATCGTATGTTGAGCCTTCAATAAAAAACTCGATTGTTCCAAGCTTGTAAAACCATATTAAATTATTTAAAGTTTTCGGGTCATATGTCTGGCCCAAACTTCTTATGTGCTCTCGAGCTAAGTTAATATTTGAAGACCTAATTTCTCTTATAATTTTATCAACAACACTTTTCAGTTTTGGATCTGGCGTTGCTTCTAGTATAGGAATAATTATATTAGCAGAAAAAACGGAGTGCATTAGTTGTATTCCTGTTTTCGGAGTTTCAGTGAAGGATGCAGCACGAATGTTTTCCAAGTCATCCACATCTTTTAAAAGCTGTTCCTCTATTACAAATCCCGGATTCATTTGAAATCTAAAACAAATTTAAAACAACTTGTAGCTTTTAAAAACTTATTTATAAAAGAATAACTACCAACCTTTAACCGTACTTTCCGTAATTCAATAAAAGCAATACATTAATTTAGATATCTCAAAAATTTAATTACTTTTTAAAATGTTTTATTTCAATTTAATATGTATTTCGAAGAAATTTTAAGGTGGGTATTTTGGTAAATATTACTTCAAATTTCAACATCAGAGCTGCCAGTTTCAAACTTTTGGTCAATCAAAATTTGACAGCTGTGGAAATTATCCGGAAAATACCGTTTATCAATTTGACGTTCTTTTACAGTATATTAATAAAAATTTTGATTAGCCGAAAGAATGACTGCTGTGGTACTTAAATCCAATCAAGTAAAGAAAGTAAAGCCAATTGGCAATTGTTCTTGGCATAATATAATAACAAACCCAAAAAAATAGCATATGTACAGATTGGCAAATGATACCAATCAAAATCAAAAGTATTGCAATTTGCACTAGAATCGTCTGTATTTTTTAGCATAGAGGTTGAATCTGATTTGATTCAGAGTTGTCACAAAGGGAACTGATCATGTGATCATATCCTGTAGTTCCAAATAATGAGTCATTTAAAAAATCTATAAAAAAAATGTTTGTTTTTGCTAAGTTTCTGACAAAAATTCGACTTCGAAGATGTTCGGTACAATATGTACAAGGCGGCACAAAAGAGCATACAGCAGCAATCCTATTTTTTCAACTGATTTTTCTACATAGAATATTAAAAGTTGTTTGAGATACAGATACAAAGTAGTTAAAAATATAATATTTTATGTAGAATAAACGATGCTGAAGTTTGGATTATTGCTCAGAAGTAAAATTTCAAATAATACTTTCTCTTTGTACAAACTGCTATGTCTTATTTGCGTGATTTATGAAAAACAATTCTCATAATTTTTCATTTTGATTTTTGTATTGAGAAAAATGGAAATCTAAGTTTTTATATGAACCTACCCTTTTATTCAAACGCCATAATTTTTATATAAATATTTTATTTCAAACTTAATTTTTAATGATTGCATTCTCACCAGTGAATATTTTAAATAACGGTACACTAAATTTAATTTCTACCAAAGAAGCAAAAAGCTAAGATATATTTTTTTTTAATTTTACAGTTTGTTTAAACTCAGAGATTACACCTTATTCACGTGGAACTCAAAGTACTTTGCGCTCATCCGTGAGACGGTGTTTTAGCAAATAAGTTCGATTCACGACCCAATGTGTTAAAAAAAACTTACATAAATTAAATATGTACACATATATGAAAAAAAATGAATTTTGTATTTAAAATTTGAAAAAACTTACCGTTATTTGTTAATAAAAGAGCAATTAAATGGAATTTTAAATATGGTTTATATGAGGTTTATGCACTCAGTATGCACTTCTATGCAATTTAATTTGAGTTTTTAGGGTTGCGGCTTGCAGTTTTGTCATGTCGGTTATTAAACCGAATAAATCAATACAAAATACATATGTACATGATGATTTCTGATAATTACTTATTTATGTATATGTACATATTTAAATGCATAAATATAACACATACATATATAAGGCATGTGACCGTAAAAGTAATACAAAACTTGATATGAAATAAGTCCTCCCTTCCATTATTCGACTTTATCAACTGGAAAATAGTAAGATATCAGCATTGATTAAAAATTCTTGACATTTAAAAAAAAAAAGCCTTTGCAATTTACCACTATTTTTTTTTTCATTTTAGCCCAAGTCAAGCAAATTTTCTGTTAAACCAATGTAATTGTTTTTCCTAACCGGCAAAGTTTTTATGCAGGTACATTATGTTACTTTCACTTCTTGAAGTTTAAATATTAAAATTAAGACGAAGTAAAAAACTGCTACTAAAATCTACTTTTTGTATCACTATTAATACAACCGCTCTTTTGCTATTCCATTAAATGATTTAAAATGAAATTATAAAATCTTAAATTTTTAGAATTAAAAAAATAAATAAAACTTACAAAATGGTTTTCTGTTACATATTATCTCTTTATTTCAAATAATATTTACTTGTAATACATGTTTATTTATAAAAACGAAAAAAGGAAAATGAAAAAAACATATGAAGACAAGAAATAAAACCTTTGAAAAACTAAAAAACACGTTTATATTCACTATTATTTTTCCAAATAATTTCATGTCTATTACTACTTCTAAAAAAAAATTTAAATTTAAAATGCAAGAAATTATATTCAATAAAATAAGAAGGTTTAAAAGAAATTTTTTAATTACTCAATGCATCAAAATGTTTTTAATTTATGTATATGAATAATATGAAAATATTAAAATTCAAAATTCTATTACATGCATATGCTCAATTTTAATTAATTGTAAAAGAAAATAATTTTTTCAATAAAATAAAAATTAAAAAAAAAAATGTAAAATATTGACAAATAATGACAATTATTTAGAAAATCTAAAATCTGTAATATATTATTCTTGTTGTTTACTTAAATAAAATTTTTTATTTAAACAAACAGAAAATCAAAGCAAATATATAATATTACTGAAAAGATTTTATAACTTTACTGAAAAGAGACCAATTTACATTGAAATTTTAAAAATTAATATATTTTAATTCTAAATTTCTATAATAAAAATTAATTTTCAGTTATAGGTTTATTATTATGAAATATAAAATATTTTTAAGGAATGATTCCTTGAAATAAATTATATTTTTCTATTATAATTGACTTATTTTTAAATTTAAATTTTAAAATAATATTAAATTCACAATAAATCTAATTTCAATCATATAATTGAAGTACAAATATTTTGTTCATAACATTTATATTACAACAAATGCATGTACATATATTTGGAATTTATTATGATATTGGAAAAATGATCTCATATAAAATAATAGCAAAGGATCGAAAAATAAAATGCTTATTTTCATAATAACATCAAACATTAGAAATATGTATCAGTGTATTTGTATTTGTTAAAAAACAACCATAATTGACAGATTCTTTTTAATCTTTTATAAAACTTTCCCTTTTCTTTTATATTAAAAAATCTTAAATCACCTCTATTAAGAAGATTAAAAATGTAAAAATTGATTAAATTTTTAATAGTAATATTTCATTTTTTTAAATTAAATTACCATGACCAATAGTTTTACTACACAATTTAAATGATTCTTATTTGAATATTTTTAGAATTATGAATGTTAAAAGAAAATTATAAAAATATGTAAGAAAATAAATAAAATTTCAAAAAGTCCTTCAATTAAAAAGTAAAAATTATACATTAATAGAAGTAAAATAAACTGAAAATCCTTTTTTTTTTTTGCTACATACTTTTTTTTTTTTAAATTTATATTATTTTGTTCTTTTTTAAATTAAAGTTTTTCTTTTTTAAATTTTTAAATTTCATCTGCAAATGGGCAATCTTTCTTATACTCCATCTCGAAAATATTACTACTATTTTATATGAAATTTATGCTATTTTGATTTTGATGTTAGCGTATTTCATGTTTTGATGCAATTTATTGATTAATTTTATTTATTATTTTTGTTGTAATAGACATGAACTTTGGTTTGATGTTTCATTTCAATTACATTTTGTATATTGTTTTTAAGTTTTTGTAATTTTTGTATTTGTCACATATGTTTTTACTTGGATTTCGAATTTTTTATATATTTGGATGTGATGTTATTTTTCTAACTTTTTATATTGATGTTATATATTTTGATAAGTTTTTACTGCCACTCTCAACACATCTTAGATAATGTGGAACCCATTATTATGTTGTTGTAGAGTTGATATTTTTTGTTTGATATTTTTTGTTGGGTATTTGATTGTTGGTCTTTTTTTTTTGAGAATATCCTGGATCATATCATTTAGTTTGTTTCGTATATTCAGAAAAAAAAATGTTTTTTTTTTTTTAAACAAAAATATCGTAAAAACTTGATTTAGTTTACTGTACGGATGATGTTTTGTTGATTCGGTCTAAATTTTATGCTCGCACATTTTATTTTACCCTCAAAAAAATAATTTGAATTGATTTTTGTTTTTTTTTGTTTTGTTTTTAAACATTCATGTTGTTTTGAATTTGATTTAAAAAAATTTCAGCCCAATCTGAATTTTGGTAGTTCATTTATTTTTTAATTTTCCATAAAAATTAGCAATCTGATCATAACGTGCAGGTATAGCGTCTAATATTCCAGTAAAACTGAAATTATTATGTTTTTTCTCATTCAAGTTGTCCCCAGATAACAATGTTATTGCATTAGACTGAAATTCAACATCACCATTAAAATGATTTGTAACCATATAATTGCAAAATTGGGCAATCTTTAAGAAAACTGAAGCTTCACGATCTAAAATATTTGCAAACATTAAAATTTCGTTTCAGATTTTATATAATATAAAAAAAAGTGATTAAATGAAGAAAATAAAAACAAAAATTACTTAATTTTCTTGGCACTTTTATCAATGATAAGGCCAAATTCTCATTATCTCTTTGAGATCTCAAATAACGATTGCCATATTTAAATTCTTTTTCAAGCCAGCGAATAACATTGCGAGCAGATTCCGATCTTTTCTTTAGATCATCTAGCTCACCAAGAACTACAAATAAATTATTAATAAAATATATAATGAAACAGTGAAATTTTGAATCAAATATAATTTATGTTCCAAAATTATCCTTACCAGCATCAGGAATTAAAACGATGAATTTTTTGCATTTTACTAATTCCTTTACGATTCCTGTATATTCAACCAATGCTTTTGAATCGACTACAACAAATGGTGTCAAAACCAAGTTTTTCGGTAACTTGCGAATCTAGAAAAAAAAATTTAAAAAATTTATTATAATTTAACACATTTAATATGGTGATTTACTTTTTCCTCAAGAACTTCGACTTCATTTTTCAACCAAAGTTTACCCATTATTTCGCACTTTTTGTCCATTTCTTCTTTTCCTTGATTTTCGCTTTTTTCTTCATCAGCCCCACTGCTAGATACCTTTTCTTTTTCTTTACTTCTCAAATACCCTTTTTTCAAGCATTTGGCTTCTGTTCCTCTTGATTCTTCAACAGCAGTATCTTTTTCTTCATTACTGGTATACTCTTTTCGCGGTTGACCATTTTTTCTTTCACTGAAACGTCTACTTCTTCCTTCATTTCGGCGGCCGTTTCTAGAATTTCTGCGACGCAGTTCTCTACGTCGCCCGGATTTCTTAGATTCACGTTTCTTCTTAACATTTTCAGTAAAACGCCTGGACTTCACACAAAATTGGTAATTAAATTTTTTGGATTTGCATACATAAAATCCGAAATCAACCATTTTCAAAATTCGAATAAAATTTTCTTCATCTAAATTAATTTTATCACGAATGGTTGCTTCCCAATCTAAAGGTATTTGAACACTGCGGAAAAGATCAAAATTTTTCAATTTTAAGTCTTCTTGCAATGGTATAGCCGTGCGATTGTCAAATAATTCAGAAATATTTTCTCGAAGATTTTCGACTGTAATAAATTCATTTTCAAAAAATATTTTTTGAGTAAAAATATCAATGTTGAAAAAATTAAGCAATTTCATCATTTTATGAATAAATTCAGGATTTGAATGGTAACATCCAAGTAAAATTTCATGATTTATACGTAGCCAATCAAATAAAATTTTCAATGCAGACATTGTGGATTCATTTCGACAAAACTCAATTATTATATTTGGATCAACTTTTGTATATTTATTTTTATATTTCAATTTTTGTGGTGGGGACTCTGATGATAAAGCCGCGTTAGCATTTACCTTTTTTTCATCATTGTTTTCATACTTAAAATCCAAATCTTCATTGAGAGTTAATAAGTTGAAGTTCTCATTCATTTCTTGTGACAAAGTTTCCGGAACTATAATCGGATCTACATCATCATCGTCATCGTCATCATATAATTGAAATTTCATGGTTTCTTTTTTGTCTTTTATATTATTAGGCCCAGATTCAAATTTATTGGGTAGTTTTAAGAGTTCATCATTATTTGTATTTTTTCCACCACTTGTTGATGGTTCGCATATAAACTGATCTTCATCTATTTCACTGAAATCACTTTCAAAATTTGAGCTTAAATCAGAGTCAAAATCGTCATCTTCCGAACTAAAATCTGAATTCATATCAGATTCAGAATCATAACAACTGCTTACATCACTTTCAGCTATTTTTCTGCGACGTCTACGCAATTTCACTCCACGTTTTTTGCTCTTATTTGATTGAGGAGTTTTTAGATCAGAATCTTTTGTTTCATCACTACTTTTGACTCCACCAGCAGGAGTAGCAGTGTTACTAAGTTGTTTGTTATCTTCAGAGTCGTTCGGTAGTTGTTGACTTTCCTTTGTCGAGCGCTGATTTTGACTTCGTCCTTGCTGACCAGAGGAACTTGATCCTGGAAATGTAAAAAAAAAAATGTTTACTCTCCAATTGTTTTCAAATTTACAACATGAACCAAAAAATATATTTAGATAATTAACAAATTCTTACCTCTGGAATATATTTGTTGTACAGTAGTTGCATTGTTTTTTGCTTCAAACCAAGTTCTATATTCAGCACGACTCTTTTTAAAAATAATTTCGTAATTTTTAAATTTTTCGTCGTACATTTCTTTGAACTTGTTATTTTGTTCAGCTTTATGTAAAATTTCCTGCTCTATATTAACAATACAAGCATCCATTAAATCTGAACAAACTGCCACTAGAAACGCATTTAAAGCATAAACTTTTTGTGAATTTATCATTTTCAATTTTGATAAACAGAAAAATAATATCGAAACAATTTTGAACATTGAATCGTCGGTCATTGAAATTGTTTTTGAACATAAGACTTTTTTCAAATCAATTAAAACACAATGACAGAAACTTGTAAATTCTGGAACATCTTTATCAAAAAAGAAAATTTCTATTGCAAAGAAAAATCTTGCATAAAAATCTCTTAAGCTAAAATCAACTTTTTCTGGTTCCATCTGATCCAAATAATTTGAATGATTAGCAAAAAGTTTCAACACATTTGTTTCGCTTAATTCAAATGGTACAGTGCATACCAATGAATATAGATAATGGTATATTGAATCCAAATCATAATTACGACCATAAAATAATGTACCCAACTGATTTTGTGTTATGCCAATAACCGGATTTATTTTAAATGCTTCGTAATAAAATTTCGAAGTATATTCTCTTGTAATTTTAGAGTTTTGATCGATTTTAAAATCAATAAAATAACGATGTAAATCACCAAGTGCTAAGAATGATGAATGTATTGTATCTAGAGCACAACTAACCGAATCAAGGGTTTTATCAACCAATGATCCATTTAATGGTTGGAATTTTCCATGATCTTCATCATCAATTATAGAAAAATCAATCCATAATTTTAAGTCCAAATCAAATATTTCCTCCATTTTTGAAGCAATTTTTTTATAGTTTGATATACCTTCCAATAAAAGTTTTTTAACCTTATCAATATGTTCTGTTTTGATATTATCGCGTGACCAATTTTTTTTAGTTATAGCAATTTGATCATAATATCCTTTCCGCCATAATATTTCACGTGATTTTTTACCAATCGCATCAAAATCCTTAAAAATTAATGTTATACATCGTTGAATAAGAGCAATGCGTTTATCTTCTAAGTCACGATTATATAGCTCAGATAGATTTGTTAATGCTTTTCTTTGATCATCTAAATGTTTTGCGTACGCATATAGCGAACTAAAATAAAAAATAAAAAACACATACGTTACAAGTTATATATAACTACTATAGCAAAAACTATATATAATACCAAATAATCAAAATAATCAATTTTTTTATTTAATTACAGTCGACCTTTCATAATCAGAATAACCATTTTGTAAAAAAATAAGTTCGTGTCGAAGTGAATTCACATTTAGCGAGTTTGTGCTACAGGGGTTTGATTGTAATTTGTTTGATAAAGAAATTGAGATAACAGAAACTTTCTAATATTTTTATAGATGGCACTTTGACGTCACAGAAATTTTTTTTTCCGATAAAGGATGTTTATTTATTTTAAAAGATACGAATTGATTATAAATTATTCGAAATTTTAAAAAGCTCTATTGAGAAGAAAAACATCTGACTTAAATTAAAATTTTTGAAAAATATGTATATATGTATGCATCTGTATACGTGTGAATTTCTTTAAATTTCTAAATATAGAGTATATTTTTTTATTGTATTTTTTTTTTCTATTTTTAAAAAATATTCACAAAAAAATATAAATGAAGAATGGAAAATACACTTGTTTATTAAAATTTATTAAAATTGATGCTCATTCTTCTTGGTTTATACCTTTAAAAAAACAACCGAATCGATAAGCGAATAATTACTAAAACAAAATTTCATGCAATGATTCAATTTCGATTAATCACTATATTAAAAATAATTTGAAATTCAAATTTCAATTAGGTGCCTATGCCTTTATGTATTACTATTGAAGATAACAAGCGATCACAAACATAATGCATATTAATCAACATTAAATACTTATTTATAATCAAAATTAACAAATTTTCGTTAATATTCGTACATGTATCTTTATACATTATCCTATTATTTTTGGCAAAATTTCTACATCTTTGTTTGCATGTTTAACAAAAAAAAACATCGAAAACCAAATTTTAAATCGGCAATAAAACAGCTTTCACTGCCATCTTCATAATTTAATTTTTAGTATTCTTTTGGAATAGCGTTAATGCACATTTATTGTAGATAGTAGTGTAAAACATAATATGTATCTACCTATTATAAATATTATTAAATTTATTTCACTTACCGATATATTTCTTTGAGTTCTTTATCTTTCGAATCCATTTTAAAGATATTTGCAGATTTTCTGTGCCTGCAATTTTTTAAAGATGAAATGAAGAAAATAAGCCACTATTTAAACTTGTTCTCACCTTAAAAATAAAAATAAAAAAATTAAAATTATGAAAATATTAATAAATTTTGTGGTAAATAGACTACTTGATTAAAAATTAAATTCGATAGCCTTTGTAGTTACTACATTAGGTATAATTTCCAAACACTTAAAGCAAAAATTGACAAAGTTAGATTTGTAGGTAAGTAAATATTTGTGAAAATTGAAAATTTTTCATTAAACAGGTAGGTATTTCACCTTTTTTATAAATTATTATTAGTCTGCTAATTTTAATTTTTTTTCTAGAGATTCTATTTTATATACCAAATGGAAATTTTTTGAAAAATTTATAACAAGGGGGAATATAATATTTAATTAGTTAAGGAATGATACCCTTGGCTCTTTTTATGAGGTGTATAAGTTGACTAATTTACTTTATGCTAAAAACGATAGCTAAATATACTACAATTTGTTTTATTGTGTCTATGTGTCTACACGTACTTTTATATTAATCAATACGTGTTTATTTTCAAAGTTCAATAATATCGTTTTTTTTTTGTTTTCAAGATTCACTTTTCAATACGTCTGGATGGGTGATTACCTATTATAGTCAGAGTCCAAGGCCAATAAATGTCTGTTGTGAAAAAAATAAAAGTTAAGCACTTAAAGGAAATATTTCTCTTACTAACCTTTTTTCTTTGCATTAAATAAGCAAATAAACTTCAAATTTCTTTTCTTTCTTCTTAAAAAAAATCGTTTTCTTTACATAGATAATAAAGCAAAAATCAAAAATATGCAAAAAAATTATAAACTTTTGCAAATTTTATTTTTTTTTTTCAATATTTCATTATAATTACTTGAAGAAATATTTAAATCTTTTTATAACTTGAAATATTCAAACTTGATTGTTTTTTTCTCTCTTTTTGGTTTTTTTGCAAACTTTTATTTTCTTTTTTTCCTCATTAGTTTTTTTTTTGTTAAATAATTGACTCTGCTGTTGTCAATTCCGTCAAGACATGAGTTTTTTTGATTTAAGTTCTTTGATAAAATCGGAAATCACTTTAGTTTTTATGCGTTTATCATTTTTAAATTTAAAATTCATCACTTTTCGATTATTTTTAAGTTTTTAAATATTTAAAATTAATAATATTTTAAGTTTTTTATATTTTCCAGTATTTCGATATTGTGAAATTACCTTCCTTTGTAATACTTGAATTTCTTACGTATAAACTTTATAACTTGATGCGAAATGCGAAGAAAATAATCTATTCATCAGTCAGAAATTTCGCGATTTGTAGAAAAAGAGTTGCCATTATAAGAATAAAAATCTATTAAAACTAATTGTGGTAAAGATTTTCATTTTTGATTTTGATCGCTAAAAAGAACGAAAGCATAAAATTATTTTTTGACAACGTCAAAATATAACTTTTTGCAAATGTATGTTAAAGGGAATACGACTTGCCAAAAAAATATATTATAATTTTTAAAATAAAGCATATTTACGATTAATAAAATTTATTAAATTCATATAAATAAAAATATAAAAGAATTTTGAAAAAAAAAAAACAAAAAATATTGTACGTCAAATATAGTTTAATAACTACAATGAATTTCTTTTTAGAAAGTTTGTGAAAAGCTGGACATAATTAATTAAGAAACTGACAGGAATTTAAAGAATCTATCATTCTTTTCTTTTAAACAGTTTCTGTAAAAAAGAAAAATTTTGCATTGAAAATTCATATGATTTTGAGAATTCATTATTTTAACTGAATATGTACAAATTTCTAATGGTACTATTAGAAGAGAATTCTTAAAAGACTATTATAAATTATTAAATTTGAAAATGGAAAAAAAAGGATTCCTTTTTATAAAAAAATTTGAATAAATTGCTGATTTAATTTGTTTTTATTTCCAAAAAAACAACAATTAATTACATAATTCAACACAAAAACTCAAAATACTTCATATTTTTTTCACTCAATACAAAAAGAAAAAAAATTTTAAATGGAAAAATTTCTTTTGGAGTATTTTAGCAGAACCAAAAAATTACGTGCAGCAGTTTCACAATTTTGTTTTAGAAATATTTTATGTACTGCCAACTGTATGCTTCATATGTACACTAGTTTTAAGTTATTACTGTTATTGACTGGCAATACCAATTATGGACGCCATATATTTTCTCTCAAAAAAATTTAAACCAGCAAATTTAAGTGAGAGCTGCAGAAAAACACGACGTCGAATTTTGAAAATTTTAAAACTGACAAGATGTACTAAAAATTTTTTTTCCATATTATTTTATTTTGATCATACAGTTAAAAAAAGCAATTAAGCCATATATTTCCCCGGATTTTTATAAAAGAGAGGAGTTTTGTAGTCAAAATATAGAATCTAATATTATAGAATTTTTACAAAACATCTTTAACATTTTGTATTTTTCAAAATCTCAAACATTTCCAAATCTTCGACATTCATCTAAAATTTATATACTATTTATATACTATTACATATTACTTTGATTTAAAGCTTATTCATTATAAAGTTTTGATGATTTTTTTTAACAAATGATAGTTATACGCATGTTTATATTTTCGTATAAGCTGGTGTATCAACGTACTGGCGTATAAAACTAAAAAGTTTAACAAGATTTTTATTTTTTTACTAGTGAATATACTACGTAAATAAAAATCAAAAAAACAAGGTAAAAAACGTCAAAACCTTCTTTAGTTTACTTCGGGAACCAGTACGAAAGAAATTGGGCACCCTACTCTAGGGCTTATTTTCCCCTGAATACTAACATTTACGCTTTGGCAGTTCAATGTGAAGCATGCAAATTTATAGGAAATTAAAAGTATTAAAAACTTTAAAAAAGCAGCACCATCGACCATTTCCATATTCAGATGTGTTTAAGTTAGTATTCGTAAAATTCATGAAAACGTACTTGCAAAAGTACGTTTTTCACGTCAACATTATGCTGTTATTTCTCTTGTAAACAGAAAAAAAAGCGCAATTTCCTTGATGAATTGTAACCTGGGATTACCCAGAATTAAAAGAAAATTACTGCCATGAATTTATTTTCATTTACAATGGCAGTACCAATATGCCATTTTGGTGAATGCTTACCTTTACAATAAATATGTCAATTCATTATTTTGACAACTTTTGACGGTTCTTCTGACATTCTTTTTACAACTACCTTCGCAAATTATTCGCACACTATTATAAAATGTTGCACAATTTATTCTATTAACTTATTTATTTCTTTTTTTTATGATTTTTTTGTGGAGTAAAAATAAAGAAATAAATAAAATACAACAAAAAAAAACATTTTCTCTACTCTATACATATTTTTCTTAAAATTTTTTAGTTCAGCTCGGTGTCGGTCTCCTCAGCTCAGTTTATTTTGTAAAATTAAATTGTTATATGTCGGTATTTTTGTGCGGAGAAATTTTCTTATTGCTTTTAATAAAACAAGAAATGATTGAAAAAAATTCCTCAGCATAAAATTTATAAAATTTAAACATTTGTTTTGTATTTAGTTCTTTAAAACTGAAAATGTCTATTTATTGGTGGAAAAATGTAATAAAATAAGTTTTCTTTCTGTGTACAACAATTTTTATTAAATAAAAAAACAAATGGAAACATTTTCATTTTTGTTTTGGTAAATAATGTGATGTTCATGTAAAGAATTTTAAAAGAAGAAAACTTGATTTTTTACAGTGATGATGCTGTTGGAACTTCTTTTTTCTATTTTTCAACTTTTTTTCTTTAATAATTTCAAAAACGAAATAAATTGAGTAAAAATAAGCCAACAATACAAAATAAAGCTAAAATTTAAAATATTGAATTGCGTCTAAAGTGTTGTTTATAAAAGAGAATACCTACAAACATATTATGTGCATATTTGGAGTATTTGGTATTCCGATGAAAAGGTGAATATGAGAATAAGAACTGAAATGAAGATCCTGCAGTTAGTACCTACGTACAAATTATTAAATATTACATTCATCTTACATAATAAATACTAATAATAACTTAAACATTTAAATTGTTAGTATCTTAAATTTTTGGCATTTAAAACGAAGGAACTGAATTGTATTCAAAGATGGTACACCTTTTGTAAACAAGGCGTAAATTAATTGCCGTGGAACTTTGTAAAACGAATGATTTTTCTTCACTTGAAGTTACTTTCATTAATTTGGTTACAATTTTTTCCGCATATAGGCTACATGCGTGTTTAAGTTCTTAAAGACTTACTTAATAATTATACTTACTCGGAAATTTCGGAAGTATATTAAATTCCTGTTGACATAATTTACAGACTTTTGTATTAATTTATGATTTCAATATCGGATTTTTGAAAGCAATCAATAACAAAACTGATATACTTGCTTGTAAAAACTTACCGAAAGTTAATGAAATGTAATAAACATTTGTGAGCAACACATGGAAGCAAATTGAAAATTTCGTGAATAAATATATGTATGTAATTTGTATTTGTAAATAAACTTTAATAAAACTTTAATAAAATAAAAATATTTAAAATCTAAGTAGACATATTTACTACTAATTATTGATAAATTTCATCTGAATATGTAAAAATTTCAAGTGAATTTACGATAGCTTATGTGCGACTTACATTATTAATACGAGTATTAGATTTTGTGTTCATTTTAATTGCATTCCAAATTGCAATTTATAAATATTTCATCGAAAATTTGACCTACTACTTATAAAATAATTTAATGTTAACCTGTCTCCCGTTTCCATTTAAAATTTAAAGAGTTAATTTAAAATTTAATATAGCATAGCATTTATTGTGAAAATGCATGTCTATCTGCAAATTATTTATTAGATTTATTAATCTGACTATTTAAATATACGGGCAGTCTTTAAATTTGAATAAGAAAGAAATTTAATAAAAATATTTGGTTTTATAGAGGAGTAATGATTAAAATATTGAATTAATGATGCAAACTTGCAGTAAAATTATAATGAATTACGTATATAGGAATATCTTTCAACCTGATTACTAAACATATATGTATATTGTGTAACTTTTTAAATTTAATTAAAATTAAATCATAAAGAACTCTAAAAGGTTCTTAGCAATATTTGTGGACATATATTTGGATATAAGTATGTTTCTTTAAAATTTTATTTTATAATGTGATCAAAATCGATTTGAAGCTAATTATGAAAAATATAGTTAGTTACTTTCCTTAAAGCTAACCTATTCATGTGTATTTGAAGAAAAAAGAGAAAACCCGTATAAAAATAGTTTGGAACCAGCTTTTAATCCACTAATATTCAATTTTTACAACTCAATCCTATGTAAATGCAAAAAAAAGTGTTTTAGTTACTAAGTTTTATCAAGTTTTATTTAAGTAAAATTTAATAATTAACAAATCAAAAATTTAAAAATCAAAGAAAGCATTGCTTAATATTTATGAAAATTAAATTGAAAAAAAAAAAAATTATTAATAATCTTAAGCAAAAATTCGTTATTATATGTCTTCATTTTTAATTTTAGTGAATAAATATTTAAAATAGTTTCGCAATTAAGAATAAAATAAATAATTAAATTAAGGAAGAAAATTTTTAAAATATTAAGTGAAATATATAAAATAATTAAAATACAAAATGAATAACCATAATCAATTGCTGCAAACGCAGCAGCAGCAGCAACAACAACAGCAACCACAACAACAACAATCACATCAAATTCATCAACAGAGACCACCACCAGGTCATCATCTACATCCTTTTATTAATAATTCTTTAGCAATACGACAGGAGATACAACGTTTTGAAAGCGTACATCCATCTATTTATGCCATATATGATTTAATTGAACTAATACCAGATGTTCAAGTAGCACAGCAGATAAGAGATCATGTTGTTTGCATTGAAGGTGAGTGATTAATTAACTAACTTTAAACAAATATGTAAAAGTATATAATACTTATACTTATATAATTAATTGCAAATAATTTCATATTTTAATTAAATTGAATTTGAATTTATCTATAGTTACTTACATATACCAAAATCAAGTAATATCATAGTAGAGGTCTTACAACCAACAACCATTTCCTAGCTACTTCATTCAGAAATAGCTTTTTTAGTAAGAGCTTAAGCATTTTTAATATGAAAGTGCTTCGATATCACCATATACATAAGTGCTTATAATAAAAATTATTGATTGAAATAATTTAAAACCTTAATTGAAGTAGCATCT